GGTGATGTGGCATTGTCAAAAATTCACTGAAACAATAGTTTAAACAATTGTCAGGGTTAGTATCAACTTTGTCATCCATAAAAAAATTTAATTTACTTCGATTAAAAAAATCTTCACACGAATCAATTGCAATTCTTCCAATCAATTTGTTAGGTATTAAGTAAAAAAAAAAAAAAAAAAAAAAAAAAAAATTTCTTAAACCCTCTGGTGCATGAATTCATTTTGGATCACGGATTCCAAACTGAAAGACCTCTGGTGAGGGTTGGAAATGAGATCGAGAGGAAGGTGGTGTCAACAAAGTCTACATGAAAAATTTGCAACCCCCAAATCCGAAAGCGAGTAACGGCGTTATAATATTTCAGGAAAACACATTTTTCTATATGACTGTAAAACCACCTTGACAGATACGGCGAGGAAAATTTTCTAGACATGTTTTGTTGTTTATTTTGGAATATCGAGTCCGAAAATGTCCTTGGTTTGTCTTTACCCTGGTAAAAATTGGCAATAGAATCTGTGTTCCAAAATACCACAGACCTACAGCCGGCTGTAAGATTTCCAATAGCTTCTATAGCTGGCAACACAATTTCTTATAGCCTTTTATAGCCGATGGCGACTAAGCAACAGCCTGGCAATAAAGTGTTTCCTAAACGTTACTAATTACGGATGCTAGGACTTAGTGAGTTTTTGGACTACCGCTCTCTTTTTGGGCCGTAGTATCTTGATTTATTTTGCGAGAAAAGCTCCGTACTTTTGAAGGATGCCTGCCATTCCTAACATGTTGGAGCGCCTACAATTTCGTATGATACTGTGCAATACCTCTGTTGTGAAATAGTTGCTTCAAGCGCCGTGGTACGCTGCGGCGCCGCGCGGCGGGCGGGTAGCCAGCACGAAACGCACATCGGCGCCTTCAAACCTAACAGGGATACTTCACGCATTGCGCAATGCGTGAAGTATCCCTGTTAGGTTTGTAGGCGCCAGTGTGCCGCCGCTCCGCTTTGTGTTAGGCTCTAATATTTAATCTCGTGGAGTCAGCGTTTTTCAATTCATAACTTTGAAATGTTTTCACACTCTGTATGGATTATTCTCAATTTAATTGATGAAAAAAAAATATGTAGTAAAGGATAATATAATGTTCATTTTGTATATATTAAGGTGATTCCGTACAAACTTAAGGATTTACAAAGCACACGAATTTCTACACAATTTCTCATAGCCTTTTATAGCCGATGGCGAAAAAGCAACAGCCAGGCGATAAAGTGTGAAGCCCGGCGATAGGAACTTTATCCCGGCTGTATATTTTGTATCGCTTCGTGTAGCCCGGCCGTATGATTTTTTCCACTTTCTACAGCCAGCTGTATAATTTTCTATCGCCTCCTTCAGTCGGCTATAAGAGCTCCCAATGTATTTTGAAACGCAGCTCCTATCGCCAATTTTTACCAGGGTAACATGCAAACATTTCTCAGAAAATTGAATTTTCCTGGAAAAACACTTATTTGAGGAAATTCTCGATTTACCGAAAAATTGGTAGGTATAGATAAAAACTAAGATCTTTTTCGGAATCAGAGTTAAAAATCACGTGAGAATCTACCATCGTGTCACCTAAAAAAAAATTAGAACTGTAATTTCTCTACAAAAAAGGTCGTGCAAAATTACTTTGTTCACTAAGAAAATCGCCCCAATAAGGCTGATTTTAGTTTCTTTGTGTATGTTTTCCTGATCGTGAAGTATTTCCCGGTAGTTTCTCGCTTTCCGCTGGAGAAAAAGTATCTTGGGTCCAGGGTCCAGACTTTTAAAATATTTGACAAGAAAAAATAGTCTTGATTCAAGCAAAAATCCGATTGGATCAAGATTATGTATTCTTGTAAAATTGCGTTTAAAAGTCTGGACTTAGGATCCAAGAGACTTGTTTCCAGTGTCAGATTTAGGGATTGTGACTTACATATATTCATGTAAATTTTGTAACCCGTGCTCTCGCTAAATAAGGAAATATACTCGGCCCGTGAAGATTTTTGTTTTCTTTAAATGCAAAAACTTACCTATAAGACAACTGCGCATTCTGACGCTGCGCAGAGGCAGAAGAACTTAGGTGCCGACCGCAAACCCAGCGTTGCGTCGTCGTCATTCCCTCAGAGTAGCAATCTATTCATCCGGAAGTAATTGAGAATATCGGCCATAAGTGGCAACGCAGAGGGAGAATTGGGCCCATAAACGCGGGTATGAGACCATAACTCATCGGCTGACGGCGATGGACACCTCTCGTCATAAAATCAAAACTTAACCTCCAATTAATTCCTCCGCCGCTATCAGACCAAAGAGCCGCGTTTCCCGACGCAGAATAGGTTGTTTCCCGTAGAAACCGGTTCTGCCCCCCCCCCCCCNATTTCCAACCTTTCCAGCCTTAATCTCAAGTAATTTCGTCAGAAGCTTCACAATCCGGGATTGTTTTGTTTAAAAAGGTGCAAAAAAAGCTGTGATAGCTTTTAGTCGTGATTTTGTTTTAAGGTGATTCGTCCAAAATGCTTGGCGCGGCCGAACAAGCGTGTGATATGCTGCATCAATCGAGTGAAAAATCTCTGCAGATTTTGATTTTTCAGCAAAAAAATGAACAATGACATCGTTTTCAAAGTTACATACTTTGTAAAGTTTGGCTGTTTCAGCACCTCTTGAAACCAGCCTTTTTATAAAATTAAGAACTTTGACCAAATGCAATTTACGAGCACTAAGCACTGGAAAAAAACACATTTGATCTAGAGTCCAGACTCTTAAAAACATCGACAAGAAAAAGTACTCTTGATTCAATCAGAATCTAGCTTAAATCAAGAACCAAGCCTCTTAATTTAAGCGGATTTCGTTTTGATTCAAGTAAAAATCCGATTGAATCAAGAGTATTTTTTCTTATCAATATATGTTTTCAAGCGACTGGACTCTAGATCCAATGTGTTTTTTTTTCTGTGAGTGCAAGAATAAAGATAGGCTATATAGGTGAAGATTAATTAAAGACATGTTACGTCCCAAATTGAAAAGGAAAATTTCAAATTCTTCTCACCGCGACGAAAATTGAATCTTTTCATTGCGTTTCAAATTAATGTCAGACTTAAATGGATATGAATCAAGCCCTGAATTTTGACAGCTCGATCCTCGTGACAGTCTTGTCATCTTGATCAGCCACACCCATGGGGCCAATGTCTTACGAACATAATAATTGGCAGGGAGATTAACATAGGTATTTATGCCTGAAGACCTACCACTAGCGGATACTTTGATTTCACAGTAACAAGTCAGTAGCTTTGATGTGTCCAACAAGCGATGCATGACGTTTTCCTTCCTTCCAGATAGTGAAAATCGATGCATTCACTTGAAGAGATCTTTTCTGCATTTTTGACTACAAATCAGAAGAAGTACTAGATAGTGCTTGCGAGCAGGGTCGCACGGGTGAAATGAAAAAGATGAAATATTAAGAGTGAGTATTAAGAAAGAAAAATAAAGCAAGCGGAGATTTTTAAACACCACAATCGAGATACGTGGTCTAGTGGTTTCAACGTCGATAAGTTCGTGTAAATATTTGTTTAGTGAGAAATAACCTCCATTGTCAAAAATCGATAGTGAAGCTCCCAAGCCACTTATCTCGGTTTGCAACTTTGCAGACCTCCTGCCACACACAGTGGTCTTGAAGCAAAGCGGGTTGCATGGGGTAAATCTGTGGTACATACGTGTAGACTTAAAATCGCGAGAAATCAAAATCTTGGTTGCTCCTCTTATCGAGAAACCGCAATTTGAAATTCTCATAGTAATTGCAAGTTTCCTACTGATTTTGGTTCGTTTTTTTTTACTTGTCCATTGAATCGATGCCGATCGATTAAAGCTTTTTAATTTCGTTCGATTCATGTCGATCGAATACATACCCACAATTTACACGCAGACTCTCAATCATACTATTTTTTTAACTGAACAATATGCCTTCAACTGCGGCTGTAGCAATTGTTGTTACGAATATGTCGTGCGTGCTGATTTCAACTCATTACATACTCGACTCTCTGAAGGCGTTTTATGTGCGAAAGTAGAGCTATCTGTTGGAGAACGATCGAAGTAGGGATTGGGTCATTCATTAAATCTCACTTCTGTATCTCTCCAATAGATTACGCTAATTTTGCACATAAAACGCCTTCAGAGTGTCGAGTATGTAATGTGCTATTATTAGCACGCATAACATACTTGAAACAACAATTGATACAAACGCAGTTGAAGGCGAATTTTTCAGTTAAAAAAATATTACAGCAGAAATAGAAAATAGTAAATAGAAAGTCTGCATGCAACGATAGGGTATGTATTCGATCATTCGATCGACATGAATCGAACGAAAAAAAAAATAAATAAATAAATCGATCGACTCGAACAGATTGACACAGATTCAATGGACAAATAAATAAAAGAAAACGGATCAAAATCAGAAGAAAGCTTGCATTTACAACGAAAATTTCAAATTGCGATATCTCAAGAATAGGATCAGCCAAGATTTTGCTGTTTCGCGATTTTAATTAGACACGTACCCTCGGCATTTTGCAATTGAGAACTACAACATTTCTGGCTCATCCCTGGAAACACTTACGTGCATATGGGAAAAAATGGCACACATACGGTGTCTCTGAACTGAGCCAGGTATTGTAGTCAAAATTGCAAAATGTGGTCAATTCAGCTCCGCGCCATTTCCACCCGCAAATCGTATTTTTCGAGGAAACTTCCGGACTTTCTCACCGATCAGGTCACTTATTTTCTTTCTGATCAAACTCAGAAATCAGGAAAATTTTAGACAGCAATTGAACAGTCATATTCTTGTAAAAAATTGGATTTTCAATCTATTTTGCAACCATCGCACAGATTGTGACTTGGGAGTTACGATCTTACGTCCTCTCCAAGAGACGACGATTTAAGGGCAAAAGCGACCTCCTTTGCAATTTCTAATGTACCTCGGTGTAACTCAATTTGCGTGCGTGGTGTTTCAGGGCGTTGCAGGAGCTTGACACAGGAAACGAGACAGGCAGCCCGGACTGCGAAGTGGCGACTCACCTGCTCAAGGCACAGACAACTGACTTGGTGCATCTTTGCGAATCCTCGCCTGCGGAAATGATGGAGATCGTGGAGGCGGCCAGGCTCACTGTCTCCTCCTGTCAGAACCTCTTCAAGCACAGGCGCTGGAACTGCTCCAGTATTAGGCAGGCTGGAACCACCCCAGATCTATACACAGGTAATGAATGTAAGGCAGCATGGGATCTCTACTCGCGACTGCTTTCTTTATTTTCGTCGTTTAATTTTGATATTATGAGAGTAACGTGTTGCAAAACATGTAATGAAGCTATTTCATGACTTAAAGCCATTTGCTGGTTAATCAATGGAACTCTTTCTCGTACGCTGAGAAGAAGCTACGGCTTATAAACCAATTAGTGGCTCATATGGCCGGAACAACACGAATAGTAGTAAAGGCGATATATAATAATATCACATATTATACGTTAGTGATGGTATATATCGACGGTGTAAGTCGGCAATCACGTAACTCGTTTGCGGTGTCTGAAAATCTCCGCCTCTATAATATTTCTTACAGGAGAACAAATTGACATAATTTCTTGAAGTATTTGCAGAATTTTCTTCAAATAAAGAAGAAAAATCACGACAGTTTTAAAGAATTGTCGTTTCCGTGTCGTTCCGTTTAGTTTTCCGTTTAAAAAATAAAGTACGATAGGAAGTCTGCGACGTCGCAAACCGAGTTATGTGATTGCCGACTTACACCGTCGATATACCTTAGTATGGTACAAGATATCTTATTATGGTTCACAGACCGACTACTACTACTGGATTTACAACTATTAGTTGTGTTCCATATGAGCCACTATAATTGGTTTATAAAGCGACAGATTTTTCTCCGTGTAGGTCGGCAAAATAATACATCGTAACAAAATAATCAGCCGCTGAAGTGAAAAAAAAGAAAAAATTCGATTGTCAACATAGCCGAAGAAGAGAAGTACTCAGCCCTCGTTTTCTAACTTATCTACCGAATTTGCGCGACACCAGACACCTCATTAGCAGCAGAGAGTAGGGTTATAGGACATTTCGTCAACGATTTTTTTGTCCGCGCACCTGTTTTTCCCAGTAATTAACGTCCACGCGTTTTTTCGGCACGGGAGTGTTGGTCCACGTGCCGGTTGAGACCCAAAGTTAATTGGCCCACATGTAAATATAAATGACAATTGCTCATGACGTTTTTGGAATGTCTTGGAAGAATGAGGGTTTGTTTGTTTTTTTGTTTTGTCTGTTTGGTCCAACGGAGAATAATATATAGTTGAGAGTTTTGGTAAAAATGGGGGAGCGTCAATTCCATGGGACAAAATTCACTAAAACTCTCTACACCTCTTTGGTGTAACAGGACTTAATTATCTTTCAAGAAATTCCCACCTTGTTACACCTGAACCGGATAGACCTCTATATTTGCCTCAGCTAAAGGCTCTTAGATTTTTCTTGTGTACGATAAGTATCTTAATTTATTTTGCGAGGAAAGATCCGTACTTTTAAATGATGCCTGTCATTCTTAATACGTTCAATTTCGTATAAAACTGTGCAACACATTTGTTGTGAAATAGTTGCTTCAGGCGCCGCCGCACTGCACGGCGGGCGGGCGGCCAGCGCAAAACGCGCATTGGCGTCTACAAACCTAAGTGGATACTTCAAGCATTGTGCAATGCGTGAAGTATCCACTTAGGTTTGTAGGCGCCAGTGAGCCTCTCGCGCTGGCAGCACGCCGCGCCGCTCCGCTCTGTTATAGGCTTTAATATTTAGCGTTTTTTAACTCATGATTTTGAAATTTAGCACACTCTGCAATGATTATTCTCATTTAAATTTATGGTAAAAAATATGTATCAATTTATCAAAGGAGAATAATAATATAATGTGTGTTTTTTAAATATTGGTAGTTCCGTGTCAAATTTAATGATTTCCAAAGCACTTTAATTTTTTCTTTTACATTTTGTGCTTTTATTGTGCTGCAGCGAGGTGTACACGCAACGAAACGCTCAAAAGTTGACGTATTTGACTCTAAAAGATCGATGTAAAAATGGGTTAAAACTAAAGTTTGCGTGCATCTTGGTTTTTTTCCTCTTTTATTCATTTTTGCAGTTTCTGTCGGCGCAACTGCGGCTCATTGAGATTAATGTCGCTTGGAAAAGGTTTTACAAATATTTGTCACGTTTTAAAAATATAAATGTTTTCAAAATGAAGTAATAATTTCGTAAAGAAAAAATAATAAAAAGTACCTATACATATATAAGGTACATTCAATATTTTAAGGATAGAAATAAAACCAAATATTAACCAATGACAATTTAAAAAGATGATTTAAAAGGAGAAAGTAATAACATTTCATTTAGAAAATGAGCAACCATAACAACACCTCCTTCTCCCTCAATTTCTCGTTTCCATATATTGTCAATATAATTTTACATACCGACTAAAATATAACGCTTGGACCAAGTCACTATTGCTTATTTTACGTGTGGGCGTAAACTACTGGACGAAAAAGGTGCGCGGACAAAAAATCGTTGACAAAGTGTCCTGAAGCCGAGAGCGGAGCATTGCGAGTTCTCGCATAGCGCCGTCGCGCCTTCAATTTTGCAGATGCAACACGGTCATCCGTCAAGCACGAATAGTCGTATCTCTTCGCCGTCATCAACTCATGCAAGAGCTTTACGCGCCTTATAGTTTGAATGCTAAATATACAAAGTATCCCAATATTCTCATTTTTAAACAAAATATTTTTAAATGATTTAAATATTGTTTTAATGTTAAGAATTTACGAATGCGTTTGATTTCAGGAACCCGGGAACAGGCGATGGTGTATGCACTGAGTTCAGCGGCGCTCGTGTACACGTTGGCGCGGGCGTGTGCCGCAGGGACAACGCCGCAGTGTGGGTGCGCCCCCTTGCCACGGGGCCGGAGCCCCGCGGGCTTCCACTGGGGCGGTTGCGGGGACAACACTCGTCATGCTGTCCGCATTGCCCGCCGCGTCACTGATCGCCACGAAAAGAAAAGGTACCTATCGCCTCGTTAAATTCAATACTCTGGGATCAGAGGATCTCCACAAAAAAAGAAAAGAGGGATTTACAATGCGATCGTCAAGAGCGTAGTAACTTACGGCTGCAAAGTATGACCGATGAGAATATGGACCCAGGAGATCTTCATGCTGAATTTTGAAAGTAATAGACAGAGCAATAGACAAAGAGAGCGAAGGGAAAACGGCGTAATCATATCGAAAGAATCTGGTGGTTGCAATTTATGGACAAATTACAGTGTGTCCGGAAGTTAACCTTTTTAACTTTTAGGATAGATTTTTCTGCTCAAAATATGACCATTTTTTTAATACACACATATGGCACATGTAAGAGCTATGCGCTTCCACAGTTGCCATTTTTTCTTTCGAATTGATGTAACTCCTCTTTATTATGTCGTAAGTAGCTGAAACTTTGTGTAGCGGGGTATTTTTTAGCGTACTATTCATTTTTTGTTGTTTTCAAGGACGTATGTCTTTGGGAAATGACGTTACGAGCGTTCCCGAATTTTAAAAGTGCGATAACTTTTTTGGTCGATGACATTTGGAAAAACGCATTACGGCACGTGAGAAAGCGCAAAAAATCAAGGCCACAAGCTTTTGCACAAAATTTATCGGAAATGCGTCATTTCGACGCAACAGAGCTTTGAAAAAGTTTCAGATTTTCTAGGCTCCTTGCTGGGTAAGCATTTTCTACCACAGGGACTGTAAGAAAATTGCTTACGGAGCAAGGGGCTTCGAAAATCCGAAGAATAAATCCGCGGGCCGTCGCGAGAGCTTCAGTATTTTCGAAGCCCCTTTCTCCGTAGGCAATTTTCTTACAGTCCCTGCGGTAAAAATTGCCCACTCAGCAAAGAGCTTCGAAAATCTGAAACTTTTTCAAAGCTCTATGTAATGGTATCGAATAAAACAATCTTTAAGCTCTTTCTGCGATACCCTTTCACATGATAGCAATGATAGCTGATGAAGAGTTGAGATTTTCCCTTCTAGGTATCGGAAGAGGAACTCGGTGAACTATCGACGTGGCAGGGATATGCCTGGCAGGGACATGATCGAGGAATCGATGAATCATGGAATTAGACTTCTTTACGGGAGAGACCCACACGACGACACCACATCCCAGCTTGTGGCCCTCGCCAACCTCCACAACAACAAAATCGGTAGAAAAGTAAGAGCTTATTCCACTTATTTCACAGGCGGGTTCTTACTTCAAGATCCATTTATTCATCGCTACCTTGCGCCTCCAAATGAAATATTCGTCGGTACCATATCCTGGACCAGACGAATTTCCAAGCACCTCTCACGTAATTTTCCGGATGAATTTTGTATCGCTCTCCAGAACACTTTCCACCCCTAGGGTGACTTTACTGGATACAGAAAAAAAAATCAGCCAATGAAACGTCATCCTTATGTCTAGAAATTGTCAAATTAGTGATGCATTTTTGATCCCAGTAAAGAAGCAATCGCCATTTATTGTGATCTTTTGGTATTATCTGGAGGAATTAGAAAAGCACGGGAATCGTAGACGCACAGTAATGAAACCACGCTCATTCGTATTATACATTGTATTGATGGACTATTATCAACGGTGCATCGTCGCGCGCCCATTCTAACCAGTTCGCCTTCAATATTGTAATAGGCAATGTGACCAGCTTGAGAGTAGTAATAGTTGCTTGCAAAAATGTGGTCACGTTTATTCGTATCAAGCATTATGGTGAACTAATATCGTCTGCTTACAGTGTACCGCCTCACATTCAAGCTAACAGTTCGCCTTCAATTCTAAAGTAAGCAATGTGAGCAGCTTAGAAACATAAACAATTGCTCACAGTGATATGGCCACATTCAATTTTAAAATAAAAACATGATGATAATGTGATTTATTGAGATATGAAAAAATGTTCCCTGTAGGAGTTTCTGAATAAGCACATCACTAAGCTCTGTTTAGTGTGTTATACTCATGTTAGTTTGAAATTGTTTAAGTATAACTTTGTGCACATTTCTCAGAAAGTTTTCCGGTCAGGGATATGGAACTAATGAATAAAGTTTTATTAAGCGACACGGTACTGATGAATAACCACTTCGTTTATGCATGGAATATCTTTGAAGCCATCAGAAGGGTCCAAAAATGGGAAAAATACACGCTTTAAAAAAAAATGTTTGATCGATACATTTTGGCTTTTTCGAGACAAACATGCCGAAGTTGTGACACTGACTAAAACAATTCAATTTCTTATAAAATGATTCTAAAATTTCTGTGAAAAAATTTGTCCATTTTAGCGTGTAATTCGAAGAAAAGTCAGGTGCGATATCAGTAAGAAATGCCCAACGGTTTCCTCGAACGTTAAAATGAAATTTAAAAAAGGAAACTTTGCTCCATTGAAATGTAACTTGCGTTCTTTTCTCAAGGAAACGATGTCTACACAAGCTCAGGGCCGTATTAAGGGGGTGGCCACATGGGCCGCGGCCCATGGCGGCAAATCTATAGGGGGCGGCAAATTTTGAATTTTTTTTTTAAATGTAAGTATAGAAAATTCGAATTTAGAAAAAAAAAAAAAATTACAAACGAGAAAAGGCGACAAAATCTCTAATTTTCTGAGAGTATAGTGATTTCTACGTGTGTCGTATTTCAGTGATACAAGAGACAGCACCTTTTATTAGTCGAGTTAAGAGAGAAACCAAACACGCAATTTGGCCTGGAACGGCGCGACTTAGAGAGAAACAATGACGAGGACTTGAGATGAAAAGAAGAAGCCCTCGGCGCTGCGATCGGCATGGAACACATATTAGCCCCTACATGACTGCACAAATACTTCACGCATTGCTGCAAACGCAGTGCGATCAGCGTGAAACGCATAGCGCCTACAAGACTGCGTGGATACTTCACGCATTGCGTTAAACACAGTGCGTTCAGCAACGGTCGGCGAGAAACTCATGGCGCCTACAAGACTGTCGAAATGCTTCACGCATTGCGCCAAACACGGTGCGGTCTGCGCGGCGCGGCAGCGGAAGTTAAAATCATTAATCCACATTTATGTTTGTTCTTTCATAATTTTTTCGTTCATTTCTTATGAATGGAAGGCCTTGTCCACCCACAGATAGGTTTACTTCCGCGCAAAGTTCCGTGAACTTTTGCTAGTCGTGTTGACAGGGCTTTTCCAAAAAATGTTTCCAGCACGAGCAAACGCGTCTTATGCACCCCACCCCCGCTGGCACGTCCACTTGATGGTTTTTATTGATGTTTCAAAACGAATGAGAAGGGGGCGGCCAAATACAGGCGGCCCACGGGCGGCAAGTAGGTAAATCCGGCCCTGCACAAGCTAGGCGATTCTTCTTCAATACTACTGAATCAAATGTCAAAAATTTCTTTACTGAAAATATTAAATGACATCATGTAAAGGGAAAAGAATGTCATTGCTAAAAAATTCCAAATTGAGTTTTTAGTAAAACTGCTTAAATGAGTTTTGTATGAGCATTTAAAGAAGAGAAAAAATCGCTAGGAGAAGATGCTCCAATCAGGCAGCTGATCACAGGTATGATGATTTGAAGTTTGCAACGCGAGAAAATTTTTTTGTAAGGAAAAAATGTTCAAAATTCTAACCTGCTGGACTGCTGGAGCTATAATTGTCGATTGATATGAAATTTTACGCATCCGGTTTACTTGAAAATGAATAAATCGCCTCTCGAAATGTATTTCCAGTAAGTTTTAATTCAAACACTCCAATGTCGATTTTCTTACCTGACTGCGGAACGGGTCGGCTGTCGGGGCACTCTCAATCAGAATTCGTGATTTTTTTTTTAAAAGAAAAAAACTCGACAATTTTGAAAATAAAACAAATTTTACTCTCACCATTGTAATATTGATAAGCAAGACGGATACTAGATGACTAACTTCATTTGAACTACATTTTGAAATTTGAAACTATAAATTCTAGCCCGGCTTCAAAATGCTGTATGTGCCATTAGTTTCCCTAGGCATATAAGTGTGTTTCCAGAAGAGCCAGAATTTATAGTTCCAAATTGCAAAATGCAGTCCATTTATCAATAGATAAAGAAGAAATGCAGCTCTGAAAAAGTTTTCTGATCATTTTTGGAGACACCTCTCTTGTTTGACCGTTTCGTCTCCAAAAATTAAGCATCTACATTGCCCATCTCAATCATCCGAGGCGCAAAGAAAGAGCCATTTTACATGCAAAACTAATCTCAGGATTTCGTTGTAGGCTTCGACAAAAAGTGTGACGACACAATGCAAATGTCATGGGGTGTCCGGCTCCTGCAATGTGAAGACGTGTTGGAAGGCGGTATCCAGCGACTTTGAAGGCTCCGTTGGCCAAGCGTTACTTGGACACTACGCGCGCAGCGTGGAGATCCGAGAACTTCCGAAAGGGCGGTCCAAATCTCACCCCGATGACGTCACGGAGCTCGTTTACGTCACTCGATCTCCAGACTATTGCGTCAGGGACGATCGCACCGGCAGTCTGGGCACCTCTGGCAGGTGAGATCACGAAAAAAAGGCAACGTAAAATTTTTTTTCTTTTTTTTAATTTTTAGAAAATTACATTTTCTCGTTGATAACATCGAGGTGATAAAGTCTACAAGTGTCCCTGTAACTCTCTTCTCATAAATTCAATAAAAAAGGGTATGAAAAGATCATTTTCTTTCTTTTCATTTGCACTTTATGGCATATCAAGCAAATATATACTTGAATCAGTGAGAACGAAAACACACCAACTCGGTAACTTGAAAATGCTCACTTTCACTAAGGACAGACAATTTTCATTAGGTCATTAAGTTACCGTATCTGTTCCAACTTGGACATTTAAAGTGCCCTTAAGTACTTGCTTTCAGGCACCAAAAATCTTTTTCTTAGACTAACTTCTTCACCTACTATGCAGTTTTGTGTGTGTCTCGATTGTGTCTCATTTTTTCGAGTTGGTGTGTTTTCGTTCTCACTGATTCTATTTCGGAGGAGTGCCATCTCCTTCTCCATGTCGTGAAGGGACCGCTTATGGTTACATATATTGAGCAAAGTAGCCCTTAAACATTCTCAAATTTCCATAATGAGTGACACCTCAAGTCGGTTTTTTTTCATTTTTCACTTTAATGTCTGATTCTTGTTTTGAGTGTACTTTTAGACCTACGAGGGGGACCCAAAAAACCCTGAATTTTGCTATAACTCGGCAATGGTGGAAAATTCCAGAATTCTACCGAAAGGAGGTGTAACTAGAACCTATAAAGAGTCACTAGGACAAAGTAAGGTCGTAGCTCGTTTCATTTCGTTTTGGCCAGCCCTCGCGTGAGCGGTGCTTGGCACAATATTATCAAACAAAAACAAAAAAATAAAAAATGAAAAAAAATGAAAAATAAGTAAAAAAAATAAAAAAAAATGGATAAATTGAGATGAAATTTCGATTTTAACTAAAATCAGAGCGAATCGCTCAGATGTTGATGATCCTAGCGATTTCATGGCCAAAAAATCGTAAAAAAATTCGCAATCTAATTTCAAAATATCTAAATTTTTCCTTTGAAAAATGTTACTTGGATGAGGAGGATGAATCAAAGAAATTCTTTTTTTTTTTTTTTTTTTTTTTAAAAAAAAAAAGGGATTAAAATTAAATTAAATACCTTTTCACAACTGCGTTAGGGTGGACAGGGGGTCAAAAAATTCGATTTTTAGAGGAACATACTTTAGTTCGGTCACATATTTTGCAGCGATTGGCTTTTACATCACACATCCATTCCAGCGTTTAATAAATTGCCTTGTCCTTGGTCAACAGGGAGTGCAATGAGACAGCGGTCGACTCCTCTGGCTGCGGGAGGATGTGTTGCGGCCGCGGCTACCGATCGAGGGTCGTCGAACATATCTACAGATGCCACTGCAAACATATCTGGTGCTGCCGTGTCAAGTGCAAAACCTGCACCGAACTCCAAACTATCAATACCTGTATATAGCTACACTCTGAATTTTTAATAAAATCTACTTCCTCGTTCCGGATATCAATAATTTTACTTTACCCACCTCTACGAGATGCTTTGTATCACTAAAACAAAACTAAGAGAGAATAGTGGCGTCCTCTTACTCGAGTTTAAGAGAAGACAATCCTCAGAGGGCGGAAGCTTCCATAAAAAAAGAAAAGTTACAAAGCTTGTATTTATATTAAAAAACCCAAAAATTTATGATACATTAATCTATGTCGGAGTTCGGCAAACACTGAAATTGGTGCGGTAACTCTGACTAGACGCTTAGTCCTCAGGATTCTCTACCTGATAAGATAGATCAATTGTCAAATTTTTCATCCGATTGACGATTGATTGAACGTTGCTGATTGACCAAATAATTTCCGAACAATTTTTTTCCACCTCTGATTTACGTTGAAGGAATATATTAGTTTAAGTTCATTGTTGCTTTGTTTTGGCCATTGTTTTAATTATTATCCTAATATTCAAAAATCATATTACCCCTTAGAAGTGTGTTGGCAGTTGACAGAGATTGAATAAAAACCTGTCGAAATTATTATTCGTTCGGTTTAGCATCTAACGATATGTTATACTTTTCTGAGAAGCTCAGGGAACTTAAGTTACAGCTATGCAAAAATTCAACAACATGTCCGACGCTCGATTTTGACGCTCGCTCGCGTATATTTTGCAACTCCATTTTAAAGCGCATACTTTCAAAAGTCTTTGAAAAGACTTTAAAAGTAGCGACGTTAGTTTCCTCCGATTTTGATCAAACTCAGCCAGATGTTGGCCCAGGAAGACCTAAACAATCCTCCCACAAAGTTTCGTGCAATCCCCGCTGAGTCACTTTTTGGCCGGTTTGTACAACCCTCTTTCATGTTTTGTAGATACCTTAGAAGACAACTTGGATATGATCAACTAAAGCCAGACATAGAAAAACTTGAATTGTCTTTTGAAAATTCCCAAGCATTAATTGAGCATGATGAGAGCTAGTCTCATTTAGCTACAATGGGCATTGATTAAGTAGGTAAAGTGAAATGACACACAGAAAGTTCTGAACATTAACAAACACTGGGTATATTTATTAATTAACTTTGCATTTATAAATTCTTCGGCTAGACAGGTTACCATTTAAATAAATCAAAGTTAAGCATGGTCAATTAATCATTATTAGCTATCATTTTCATACAAAACTTAACAATATTGATAGAAAAATATAAATACAATACTCACATTACTTACATACACTACACATAATGGTTGAAACAAAAAGGTGGATAATTACAAAACAGAGGCGAATGTATTTCAACATTGCAAAGAGACAGAGAGAGGGAGAAAAAAAAAAACATTGAATGACTCAAGATTCAATGCAACAAAATAATTTTTCATGACCTTAAAAAGTAAATTACAAAAAAAAATTAGAATATGTCCCCATTTGCTATTAAATACTGATTACTGATTTTCAGAAGTACAATAATGTACTAAAGGAGTCAGATAGTTTCCCCAGTATTGCGTGTTTGAGGTAGTGATGTTCAGGATTGTATGGCAGATGAAGAATATTCTATCAAGTTTTCTTTCAATACAAAAAAAAAAATTAAATTTTATTTGGATTAACAAACTGAAACTTTAAACAGGAATTTCAAATAATTAGAAATAGAGCTTGATGAAATCGTCGCTCCTCTGACGTAAAGCCATATCCTTATTTCCATGGAAGCCCTGTTCTCCGTATATCTTTATGCTTTGGGGCCGATCATAAAATACGTAATTATAAATTTCGGATATTTTGACTCCCTCTTCCCTCTCATAACGCTTTTGTGACGTAGGTCCCTATCCTTTAACATGTAAAAACAAAACGGTTAACTCCCTCCTTGATGTGACATTACATATTTTATGACTCGTCCTTTCTTCCGGGGCTCATGCAGAAACTAAATGTGTCCTTTGCATAGGAGGAGCGACAAAATATCAAAAAAGAAAACATAATTAAAATTGCACCGTGGTTCATTATTATCCTGATTTAGGCAGCAAATTAGGATAAAAATTGGTTCAACTATTGATTAGAAGTTGCAACAATAAACAAAAGCATGAACACGTTTGTACAAGGAGCGCCAATAAGTAAGTTCGTTACCTCATAAAACTAACAACCGGCTCTCCCACAACTGCAATGTATCCAATTTCTCAGCAGTTTTGATTTCATGATTCTTGAGATAGATTTCAGATTCAAGATTATTACTATTTAAGAGCTACCTTGGAGCTTATGAGAAGGACCAATATACTTATTGAAAGTCCCTTGAATAAGGGTTGGAAAGAATGGTAACTAATCATAACAGATTATAAACTTTGGAAATACAATATAAAATAAAATCAGTAAGTGTGATACATGATCAGTAAGTAAACAGTGAAAAATAGCTAGAATCGTTTGTGAAACCAGCGACCCTCTTCAACAGCAGCAGGATTATTTTATGCTTATCAAGAGCTGGAGCCTTTGAACACTCTCAAATAAAGGAACTTACTGATAATTGTAAAATACTGATTTTCAAACTTTATGTATTAAAAGACTTTTGAGAGACTTAAAAGACTGGTACTCGATATAAGGACTTAAACAGTATTCTGAAGAAAGTGCTGAAAAACATGTTAAAGACATACCCAGGTGGTTGTTGGCTTCATGGATGCATTAACGGTAAAACTGCAAAAATGCATATCTCTGTGTGCAACACTGCTGACTCCCTGTCGTAGTTTACTTTATACATGGAAAAACACTCCACATCATGTGTTAAAACTTCTCTGTGAAAATTTCAAACAATAGCGTTGGTTGGTTCTCTTTTCGTAAAATAAAACGGAAGGGGAGATTTTGAAACATTACAAACAAGATACACGATGTAGCAGTTTTACCCTCAATATTGCATATACTCGTAAGAATTTGGATTTATCTTAATAATGGAGATTTGCCTATTATGAGGCTTATCAAAAGCGAACGCTAAATGATAGAGTTCATCATTGGTAACACAAACCCAGTATACATAGGTTGTACGGTAAAGCTTAGCAAGTTAGGCTGTTGAAGCGCAAAAGTGTGGTGCAACGCTTTGACTTCTAACACAAACGCCAAAAATGACAATTATTATGGCATAATACTGTTCAAATAATACTTAAGAAATCCCCTGATGTTATCTGATAAAACTGTTCACTGAGAGGGGTGGATATTAGCACAATAATTTTGAGCTGAAGAAGCTCTAGACAGATTTCGTAAATGAAAAAAGTGGATTTCATTTGCTCCATTTAAAGGGTGAGTATTTTTAGCTTGCAGCGATTTGTGCTGGAATTTACTTCAAATCTGTAAATAAATCATATTAATTGAATTGTATCATGATTTTCGCTATGATTTCACTGAATAACAACAACAACAAATGGGCGCAATGATGCAAAAAAATATAATTTACACAAAGTTGACATTTTGGATAAACCTGTTTTGCATCAATGCATTAAATTATAAACTAAGACAAAGAACAAAAATGTATGGGGTAATGTGATGCACATAATGTACTATTTAAAATTTTAATAAAAAAATTTAACAAATAAGACTTAGAATAAAACAAGATAGGAAAGACAGAGTGATAAATTGGTGACCAATATTTTCAAAATACTTGAGTCGAAGGTTGCTTGGAAATACCAGTGCCCTGATAAAATAAAAAATCATTTTTGTGTTACATAATTAATTCTGAACTTGACAACAAGGAAGAAAATCATCGGACCAAAAATAATTGTTGAACCAAAGGTGTATATGATGGTGTCAAACATATCAAATAACGCAATCATTACTAGAAAATTCAAAAATAAAGGGGGAATCCGCTATCATGACATTGCTTTTAACGACACTTCGGTCATAAAGTCTAGAATTAGTTGTTGAAATTACATGCACTTAAGTGTCAGTTATGACAGCAATCAGCTGTATTGACCAGCAATCTCTAGAGGATCATTACACCCTATCTCCACTGTATTACAAATTTTTTAAAAAAAAAATTCTGGATTCAATTCAACATAAAATGAGAGGGGGGGGGGGGAAGGATTTTTAACCTTAGGCTGGAACGGTAAAAAGCACCACCAATTCTTCTGCTTTTCTTCAATTTTTGATAGTTCAGCAGCAGTCGTTCCCCAAGTTCATGAAAACATTGCTCATCATTTTGCCACAAAGACCTACCAAATCAGTAAAAGTTTAGGGTGCGAGTTAAATGTCATTGCAGTTCTGAAAATTAGTTTCACTTAGAGATAACACTCTTGGAGAAAATTTAAAGAGAAAATGAGGAAAAAAGTGAAGAACCACAAAACAAAAGGGGGATATTTAAAAAGATAGACAAAATAACACAGACTTGATCTAAAAAACTACAACTGAGGAGAAAGGAGGAGAAGAACCACTGAAATTACAACACTTACTAAAGGCGAGAAAGCACGAGGAGCCAAACGTAGAAATCTCTCATTTACAAGGAATGGTACATATGTACATTCAAGAATATTATAAAAAAAGTTACCGCTAGAAGATCCTAGTTTCAATTGACATGATCAAATATTTAGATACATTGATCGAATACGTAGTCCTATCCTAGATTGTAGGATCTTACAAACATAAATTCTAGTAATCAAAAAATACATTTGAGCTGAAAGATGGCCCTAAAAACTATCGACTATTCATTCTACTTCAAAAAATAGAAGAAAAAAAAAGTTTTCAAGTGTAAATCTATCTCTTACATTCATCCAATTTAAAGTAGATGTGCGCATAATTCCGCGAAACCAATATGGGCTGCGAAAAAATGGTAAACAAAAAACCTAAGAGCAGAAGCTGTTTGCAATCTGTATCAAATTCAGCTGATCGCTCACTGGATATATTCCAGGTTCTTATCAACATTGTTACAGGAAGATATTCAAGGAAAAATCAAGAATAAAGACGGCATATTGAACACACAGACTTTACTCTCTGATGCATTGCCTAAAATATATTCTAACATTTAGTGCTGAGCAAAGCAAATTGAAACACGTCTTAAACCGAATTCCTGAGAACTTGAAAAATTGTCTTTAAGTTAAGGATCCTTTTTGTGAGATAAATAAAAAATACTAGAACTGCCTGTAGAATAAAGGGAAGATATTTTGCCTCCTATAAAAAATTATCATATCTAATTCATAAGTTCTCTAGGAGCCTAACAATGCTATAGGCTTGGATACATCCTGAGAAAGAGAATTTGTGAACATTGATTTTTTCTGAACATGAGTTCAGTACAGCACTGATGTTACTGTGCAATTTATCGAATAATCAGTAACACAGAGCTCATTTTATGTCACTAGGTTGCTCGAGATTTTAAAACACCACTGTATTCTAAATAGAAAGCTTGTTTGTTTAAATATTTCAAAAACAGATTTTCACAAAAAGAGTTAATGCAATTCTCCAAGCTTCAAAACCCTTTTGTTGTCCACGTTGCACATTGTTGCCCTAGAATACTCTAATTGAAGATTTTTCGACACTAAAAGAACTGAAAAGTCCTACTCCAGAATTCTTTCCACAGAGAACTGTAGAATCATAGGGAATATCCAGTAAAATTTTTAGTGAAATGGATGTATTCACTTTCCTTACAATGAATGAAATATTGGAGGAGACTCTGAAACAGTGCAACCGAGAAGTGTCCTTTTCGCATCCAGTGCCTTAATTAACCTTGGCTTTCTCTGACAATGTTTACATCAAAACTTATTTCCTAAATATAAGAGCAAATCAAAGTTTTCTTGTTTCAATTAAAAGATTGCAAGCTAAAACTTCAATTGGACCTAAAAGCATAAAATTGAAAACCGAATCAGCCATCAAGTTCCTTAGAGGATTAAAGGTTGGAAAATATTTTTTTGAGATGGACTTACAAGGGGAGCTTCCCAACGTTATATATAATTGAATAAACAAAACACTCTAAAACTCACCAAATTTCGTTGCCAAGCTGAATTTCTGGAGTGTCAGTCAGATACAGATACAGATTCGACTGATACTCCGAAAATTCAGCTTGGCAACGAAATTTGGTGAGTTTTAGAGTGTTTTGTTTATTCAATTATATATAACGTTTCAATCCAAGAGAAACTTCGAGTTTTTATCAGCATATGTAAAAAATCTTCAGTCACTACGTGTTCTACCTCGTAAGTCGGTTTGCGGAGCGAATGGTGCAAAATAAAGTAAGTGAAAAATAAACAAGCATAAAGTAAAATAAAATTACGAACTGTAATCAGGATCCGATCCTAGGTCCTCACGCATGCGAAGCGAGCGCGCTACCGTTCGGCCATGAGGTACTGATAAGGATTGTGGGCCTCTATCACCTATGTTTACCTTGTGCCGCTAGCGCACGCGTTTTTTCCGCATCTTTAGCCCTTTTTTTGAGGGCTTTCCCGACCCCATTCGAAAAAACGAAAAAATACGGCATCCCTAAAATCATCTCTAGTATCTTCATGCGAAATTTCAACTCGAAATTCCGGTTACACTTGGGAAGCTCCCCTTGTTAGTGTTAGCTCGACCCTATTTGAGTGCTTTGATTCAATTAAAAGAAACATTATAATGATCCTTCTTTCATGAAAATCTTGTTTCTTTGGGACTGTTTTGCTTAATTGATTTTTGGTCTCGGTCAGTGACTATTTTAAAATTGATGACTTGCTTTGGTAAGGATTAAAAGTCAACCTGAAAACATTGGAAGTTTGGATAATAACCCTTTCGTGAATGATTGAACGGCAATTTTCTTCAAATTAATATTTGACATTGTGGAGCAACTAGGTCTGATCCACATCAAAATTTCAAAAACTTTTGGATGTCAGAAAAAAATATCATGGAGCTTTTTAACTTTACTCCACTGGATTAAAGGTATCTGAACATTATTTGTTTTGGCGTCTGCTTAATAACTTATTTTATGCTCATACATTGGCAGAAATGTACACCATTGCCTCAGAATATAGAGATACCTGAATCATATTTCTGGGAAATTCTAGTATTTGACATTTTGGAAATTTCTAAATAAAGGCTCTTGAGTTGGAACCCTTATCAAGCGCCTGTGTCAGGGTATGGGGTTTCAAAAAGTGCGAAAACTTTGAAACTACTAGGGCCAGTGCTGCATGTTTCTATGATATATGAATTGTTAAAATGGTGTTGGGCGCCTTTTTGCTCTGGGGTATTAATATGATTTTAACCTTCGTTAAAACTGACAAATGTTTTCTTCTTGGTTGAAAGATAACTTTGTAATACCCGACTAAATATATTCTCTTCCATGCATTCTCTATGGAATTTCACATCACAATTTATACAAAAACAGAACACAATTTAGATGGTTAAAACTAAAAGAAAATCCCAGACTTTCAGTTCTGAGGCAGTGAACTAAAGAAAACAAAGCCTTAAACAAAAAACAAACGAAAAAGATTACTTGAAATTACCACAGCTAGAACAGTTGAATGCCAGTGCAGTCAGTGCAAAATAAGTTTACACACTTTCAGAGGACACCTAAGAACCAGCTGTCTTCAGTTTAGCATTGGAAAAATACAAAAATCAAGATGGCAGATCTTCTGTGGCTATCTAGAAGAGCGTAAACTGATTTAGCACGGACTTTAAGTAAAGGGAATCTTGCTACACTAAGAAATTAGAGAAAAAAGGCCCATCAATACACATTATGGTACTTCAGCAGAAGCAATTTTTCTCAAGCTTCTCCGTACATCACTTTGAATCAATGACTTTCAATAATTTCTGACAATTTTTACATTAAGCTCGATAAAGCCAATATATGTCTTTTATCCATTCATTCATTCATTCATTCATCAGGAAAAATCCACAGATTTTGACAGCTTGAATTTTACACTGAGAATCTGTGTCACTTACACCTACGTACACTGGGCAGAAACCTTTCCAAAATAATAAGATTGGTGATAAATTGTAAAGTTGCTTTTTTATAATTTTTTTTTTTTTACAGAGGAAATATTCCTTAAACTTGGTGAACTGAAAGATAAATTGGTAAGTATTTACTACTTCCTAAATCCCTGTATCTTTTTCACCTACATTTTATCAAAAGACATTGAACAAGTTTCAATGGACACCTACCCTGCACAAGGTTTTTATACTTCATTCTGCTTGCTTTCTTCCTCAGAAATGTACCCTAAAATGTCCCATTACTACCCACTCTGCAGAGCAATTTTGCCACAAAAGCTCAAAAAATTTTATTTTAAAATTGCTTCAAAAATTCAAAAGCCCCAGGAATATTGTGAGGGGATGTTGGAGCGAGATTGAACAAACTAATAATATGACAGAGAGCAATACTGCCGAGAATCAAAATTCTTAAAAGCACATTTTTTACTCTTTTTTTGACATGATTGTTGATTTTCATCGACGATTACTTCTTTGACTTGGCGTTTGATCAACATTGCTATTTCGTTCTTATTGCTGGGCCTTTTCGCAGTCCAAATTTTGAGGAGGTATTATGGCAATATCCCTCCAAAATATCATTATCAGTCTTAAAAGTGAAATCAAAACAATATCGTTACGTGCTCTTTGCAAGGTGGGTGAGGTCTCTGTTAGACTGGGGTTCAGGATAGGATATCAATACTTATGATGGGTCGAAACCCATGACATGAGCCAGTAATTGAGCAGTTTATCAACTACAATCTTATAGCAACAGATATGTCTAGAGCGAGCAATCATCACTATCTGCAGCGTAGTCCGCTGAATCATCTGTGGAGACTTCCTCATTTTTAGGCCACTTTGACGTATCCTTCATGAAATCGCTGGAGAGGAGCCCCAGGGGGCTTGAGACGCGGAATTCTTGATTCGAGAAAACCATGGACTCGGATAGATCGACCGGAGGTGGGGTCGGGTTCCCTGTTATATACATGTACTCAATATCTGGCTTCAGTTTGCGGCTGGCGCGGAACGGCTTGCGAAGGGGCGCCGAGTTGGCTGAATAAATGTCATCAAGGTTCGGTGACAGCAGGTCCTCTCCATCACACGGATGACCCTCATCACTGGCCGACTCACTGGACTCATCATCTGAGTATGGTGTGCTGGAAAAAAGCAAACAATAGGTTACGAACAATGATATCAAGTATCCTAGAGCTAGATAGAGAGAGAGAGGGGGGGAGAGGGGGAGCGAGAGAGGAGAAAAACCCCTCAAAAAATTGAAGATAAACGAGCTGTACGGTTATGTGTCCATCAAAGCTTAGTCCCAGGGATGCCCATTTAATTACAGAGATAACATTTAATTTAAAATGAGGGTGAGTCACATTTTTGTAAAATATTCAGGGCTAATAAAAATTCACCATTTTCATTTGTACAGGCTCCCTGATTCCTCCCGATGATTAAATTTTGTTTCAGTTGTATCTGATATTGTACCATATTGATTTCCATGATTTTTCAGCATAGTACGATACATGATAATCTCTGAAAGAACCTGTTGTCTTCGAGTTCCTAAATTATGGACCAGGTTTGTCATTACTGTAAAGCAACCTTTTTGGGGCCTAGAACATTCTTCGAAGGTTGAGCCTCACAGGAATCATAGGAAAACTTTCTAGTATTTGGTGTTCTTCAAAATTGTCAGAGCTTTATGAACTTTAACGGCAGATCATTTTATGCTCCAGTTAAGACAAAATTACGGCTAGAAGTGAATTTTCGGCAAATCTATATGCACATGCATTCTATTTGCATTTAAGGGTGGAAGTGTTGCCATGCCAATTGCTGTACTAAAGATTGAGAAAACCTCTTCTTAAACTTTATTACCATTGGAAAAAAAAAACAGAAGCGCAGAAAATTCGATTTTCTGCCCTAATGGGCCACACTGTGTGGTGATTAATTAAACACTACTACTCACATTATCTAAATAAAATTTCACACATAGAATGTTTATTGTGTCGAAAACTTCCAAAATTATTTCAATAGTGACAGTAGGTGGTACTAGTAGACTCTGGTTACTCTGAGAGCAGGTGTGAATGATCATAGACAAAAGCTGATATTTTCTTTACATATTGAACTTGGAAAGTTTAATTAGTTTATTGTATTTACATAAATTTCAATAAGGAGACAGGTATTGCATTTTTAATTTGGTACCCTGTCTAAAAGTTCTCTTCCTAAAAATTGCCCTTTAGATAGTAAGAGTCTTCAATCATATCATCCTCAAGTGATCTTAAAGAACATTTCAGAGAAATTTCACACCGAAAGTACATATCGAATTCCTTGGTAAAATATGTATTGCTCTTGACTCTGAACCTACATCTATTAATTTATTTATGTGCTATAATGTATATTGACGGTGAAACTACCACACCAAGTATCTTGTTTGCAGTATTAAGAAGTCTCCGGTCCCATTTCATTTTTTTGAAGGAGAACAAATCAATTTCATTCCTTGAAATTTTCACAGAGTTTTCTTTGCAAAGAGAAGAAAAATTACGGAAGTTTTCAAGAAATGAGGTTTAGTAGTTTCCTATTTAAAAAACAAAGTATGACAAGAAGTCTACAATGTCTCAAACTTAGATTGGTGGTCTGGTAGTTTCACCGTCGCCACATTCTCAAGTGTACACTTCCTTGGGCATTCTTAAAATCCAGGGTTGAGTGGGGTGAATGGCAGGATGAGGGTAAAGTATGTTATAATAGGCTCAAAACCTTCCCTCTGCAGATGCAACACCATATGATGGAAATCAACAGAAATACAAACAATAGCAAAAACTGAGAAAAACAAGGAAAGCTTTGAACAATAAAACACAAAGCAGATGCTCTTTCAGTAGCAGTTCCTGCTGCTGGTTGGCTAACAAGTAAAATACAGAAACACATTGTTGCCTCACAGGAATTTGGGGCACCTCCTAAAACATGGAAGCTTACGACAGTCACCATGGAGAAAAAACATTGTTAGCTTGGAGGAATTTTTCATTATTTTACATTTATTTGGATCCATCACAATGATAACTGGCAGTGTGATTCATTTACATGCATCGAAGGGTCAGATGAGGAGTGTAAGATGTTTGATTAAAATCATTCTCTGCCAAAACTAATTTACCTAATTTCTAGCTGTGGCTGATACTAACGCCTTTTGATGTGTTTCAATTATCAGGTTGAATGAATAAAGTTTACATGTGTACATCATGCTGAAAGTTTATTGTTTTGTACTGGGCAACGGCTCATTTCGCACAATCTGTGCAGTTTTAAATGACACACTGAAAAAACAGGGGCGGACAGGCAAGCAGGAACGCTGGGAAAAAACCTGACATCCCAGTCAGTAAAAAGGGTAATTTTGGAGTGGGTTATCTCCTTCACACTGCAAAAAAAAACAACTAAATCGGGTCAGTTCACACACTGATGGGGCGATATTCACCGTTAGGTACTTTATCGGTTCAAGTCCGCCCCTGAGAAAAAAAAAACAGGTATTGCATAGAATAAAAATTAAGTGGACGAACAGATAATTTCTTGTGCTGTCTTCACAATCGATGATACTCACAATAAACGAATGAGGTAACAATAAGTGCATACGAAAATGACAATGGTATGAAAAGAAATCAAGCCAAGCTCTTTGCGGCCAAGTGGTCAAGGCGCACTTTCAAACAAAACAACAAGGAAGTCAGATCTCAAACTTCCCTTCCCTCGTACCCAAATGCAAAACGTAATTTAAAAATATTCCCTGAGGAGAATGATTCTTAATACCTCTACCGAAAATTTTGTCTGCGTGGACTCGGGTTCTTTTTCATCTTGCAAAACCTCACAAATTATTCAAACGTTCTTGCATCATATGGGAACTAGATAAAATCTTAAGTTTTCTTGAAACATAATTTAAACATAGAAAAGAATACAAGCTCATAAAATTTCTCATGCAGTCTTACAGGTGCGACAGATATTCACGAAGACATGCCATGAGAAAATTGAAGCAGTGATTTGCCAAGCATGCAAGCAAGAACGGAAACAGAGAGAAACAGTAAACACAGAAGCAAGAATGAGACAACACTGGTGTTTGGTGGTCAAAGGAGGCTCAAACCAACTTACCAAATCACTTAATTAAACTGTGGCTAAATTTCATCTTCGGCCACTCTGTAAAATGATTGAAACCAAACCACCAAAATATTAATCTTTAGGTAATTAAAAGTACAGAAAGATCATAAAGAAGAATTTAATGATGAAAATACAAGATTTGCAGAATCCTCTATAACTGTAACATTTGATGTTGAATACTGTACTACTAGAGATCAAGCCAGAGCAACCATTCGGTTGACGCCTGGCTATATTTAAGCTTCTAAATAAACAAAAGTTGACAACAATTTTTGTTGCAATATTATAGTTTTATAATATATCAATAAAGTACGCTGAGACACTGCTTCCGTTTCCTACATTTAATATTAATTTGGATCCCATTAACATCTCAATTAGATTACTAGAGGAAAAAGTTGAAAGAGAAGAGACTGAAAGTTGTTAAATTAACTACTGAAATCCTTGATTAAGTGGATAGTGACAGATTACAGAAGAATTATCAGCAAAGTCTGTTCATGATGAGACCAGAGAACAGAAAATAATGACTTTTCCCACGATCACCACTTTGCTAACCAACCATTCAGCATAATTTTGGTCCCTGGCATGCACTCATAGTTCTGCGAAAATGCCCATGGCGCAAACCAATCTCAAAATGTGAAATTCTTCACTTTTCTCTTCCTTCGTTCAGCATTCTTAGACAAAGGGCAATAAACTCAGGTCAGCCAATCCCTCCAATTTAAAAGGTGATCTTCACGATCTTACGCACTCAGAGAAGTGTATAATCCCTTTCCCCCACTATTCTGATTTACAACAAAGAATAAACATTTTAAAAGAAAGTAAGTCTGTATAATTCCGGAAAATAAAACAGTTAAATGCCTTCAATGAAGTTCTAATAATTCAGCGAGAGCAAACTCGTCTAGATGGAGGCATAAATGCAAATGGAGTATCCTACATTTGAAGTTTTGAAAAAATACAGATAAGAAAAGCTCAGGACTGGTAGCATACGTTCGATAGGACCTAAAAGTGAGAATTGGATGGGATCCACAGAACGGGAGATGAAATAAGGAGTACTTGCAAAAGCCTTTCAGACAGTACTGAAAGTCAGAAACAATTAGGGGTACTTTTACCTCTCCTGCAGATGTATTCTTTTTGCGTAATACAATTCTTTCTTTGTGTTGGATTACTTTAACCAAGCCTATCTGTATTGAAATTTTAGGAAACATCCTCCGCCTGCTCTGGGCCCAGTTATGTTTATGGCAGGGTGCAATTGTCAAATTCTGCTCAAACAAGTCTCCCGCCTAACTGTCTGGCTAGTCCTGAAATCTAACCCATCCTTGTGAATAATATATTGTTCCTTGAGTCTTTTATTGTAGATAGGCTGTTTTTTGCATGAATGCGTCCGAATTTTGCTCTATTCATTATTATTCATTGATCAACTTTGGAGCTGATTTTTAAGGGAGGAGAAGTGGTAACATTGGATGGAGAGAAAAAAAGAGGTAATTTTCTATTCAACAACGAGAGTTGTTTTAGGTATACGATTTGGTTTCAAAAACTTTTGACAGTCGACATTAGACAACAGTTTGATGATGAAACATCATTCAAGATTTAAGTGTCTATCGACAGATTCTGGCTTGCCTTGATAAATGGTAAATGCTATGAAAAACAGGTCATACAAGAGACAGAAATCGAGGGAGGCACAAAAATGAAAATCATTGCAATGCTTGCTCCTAAATACAAGACCGGCACAGAGAGTAGACCCAGGACTCTGAACCAAAGTAAAAAAAAAGATAAAGGGGTACAGAAAATAAGGTAGATGAGGCTAGATCTTTCAAACCAGATTCCTTGAAATTTAAGGGTTAATCATTAGAGAATTAGAACTACTTGGGGTTTCCAGTGAGTACACTTCTAGCGCACCTCATACCGAAACGACATGCAGTTACATGCACAATGAATAACATATCCTGCAACAGTGAGGTAAATTCCCATTGTGACACACATAAAATTTAAGTGTAAATCTCTTGTACAATTTTTCTGATTTTTGTCTATCTTCAGACTATTAGAACAACTAAGTTCAGACTTAAATTTTTTTCCATAAATAAAAGATGAATATTAAAACTAAAACTTACATTTCATCAGGATTTTCATGGCCTCCTTCTTCAGCCACTAAGAGTTCGTACTCTTCTGCAGCATATCGATCCCAGTCTGAAATCTGGAAAATCAAAATACATTTGAAACATTATCTTTGTGTCAATGTGAAACTTTGGCATCTGAGCATTTTCCATCATTTGATGCAAGATTCATATTGAGAATGAAACTACGAACAACCTAGTATTTCTTGTCACAATTTACTGTTTTCGGTCATGACTAATCAGTGATTATCATTACTGCACAGAATTTTATGTTCTTGGTCCGCCAATAACATTCTCTAAACAAAATGTTGATTGAAAATTAATTGTATCGTTATCTTAAGAAAATATGGTAGGAGCAGAAACTTTGAAGCATTCATGAAGATGGATGTCTCTATGAGATCACAGTTTCTATGAATGTGTTCCTCAAGGCAAAATTTCAATGTATGCCATTTTAATGGTATGCATTCAGGGATTCTTGATCACGAAAACGTAAAATATTGGAAAATAAGTAGAAAAAGTTTCAACAAAATATAAATGTCAGCTTTTCTTGAAATGGGTGCAATATTAGCGAGAATAACAAATCACCGCAACTGAAAAGTGTTATTTTTGTACCCAGCACTTCAATTATGATAAAACAAGTTGGCAGGAAACAATAACATGTTAATGTATTCTTCCTTTATCACCTCATTGAGGTACATTTTTTTTCATTTTGAATCTTTCTAAGACCAATTTGTTTAATACAATACTTCATTTCTCTGGACAAGATACATACAAAAGAGGAAAAAAATTGGTCTCTCACGTTCAATGCGAAACGATGAGATTCACGGTTTAGTTCTGATTCTGTACATTTTAATTTATTTTATTCATGACTACCGATGGTAGGATGACCAGTTGAATTGTATTAAATTTTTTTAATGTATTCTTAGCCTCGTTTTCTGTTTTCTTTTGTTTTATCACACTTCTCACCGTTTGGCCAATGCTTGGCTTCAAAAAAAGAAGGCTTGGCTTGAGAAAAGATTCAGGTTGTTGCATTGTTAAAAGTAAAATGTGAGCAGGCGTACCTCATTCTCAGCATGATCCCTCTGCGAAGCAAATGGATCTCTTTGTTCGTGGTCCAGGTATTTCTCTAAATTGAAGAATGTATCGAAGAAAATCGATGTCATTTTTGATTTTTTGAGATCACTTAGTGAGATCTTATTAGGAACAGCTGGCTTTATCATATCCAGCATCTGGAAAAAGAAAATGAGCTTTAAAGTAAACAAATATTAATAGGATGATGCCTCATTCTCTAGCATTATGTTTTGGATGGTTAAATAAAAGCAAAAAACTGATCAATGATCCTTTAATTCACCAATGTTCCAGAGTGAGAGCATTGGGCTAGTACATTACAACACGATGGACCACTAGATGGAATCAGAAATAAAATACTTCACATGTTTTCTACTTAAAAATTTGATAGAGAAAACAACTGCCCTCTCTTTATTCTACATGTCTGTCAATTCAAACTTAAAGTTCCTTAAAAAAGCAAAGTCTACTTGGGTCGAATTGAGCCCTTTGCTTTTAGAGTGCTTTTCGATCGCATATTATTGTCTGAGCGTTTAATTCATGCTACAAAGTTCGCTCAACTGTATATTAGAGGGCAACAGGAAGTTTTGTAAATGCAAACTCAAATAATTTCCTGAATGCATAATGTCATTTGCGATGTCCAAAGTAACTTGCATTGATTTTGATTTTTTTAGTACCGGAAATATGGACAGACCTACTCAAATGCTAACTACAGACGTAAATCTCTGACTTTTGAATTAATTTTGAGAGATCGCATCATTTTTAACATATTTTGCATAAAATTATGAGTAAAAATATCTTAAGGTTTTCCAATTTTCTCTCACCCTAGTAGTCCATTCAATTTTGGTGCTTCAAAACACAGCATATCAGGTAGCATTGTGCTACAAAAGCAGATAATAAGAATAAGAAGATCAGTTTGACTACCTACTTCCAGAAATGTGAAACACTCTGGAAAAAACTACCTTGTGACTTGATATTGTAGGAATTGTGACAAAGACCGGACTTACTCAGTATTACGAATAATAGGGCCTCACCACATGCAGTGGAGAAAATGTCACTCACATTGTTTGATCATTCATTATATGAAAATGTCCTGACTACTTGGGACCCGTCTTTGCGTTTAGTACATTCATCTTTCTTTGATTAATGGAGCTTTTGCATGCGTGAGGAATTTGCGATTGAAGTACTTTCACTTACGTAAAATTTTGCAAGAAACATAACGGTGCCACTGCTTTTCTCTGAAATCAACTCTAAAGCTCAAAAAAACTCTCAAAGTAGGGGCTGTAATAGAGAGGATATCGCTTGCTACCATGAGAGTCCACCTCTTTATCTAGTCAAACTCTCCATGCAAAGATAGGGAACAAATACATTAGCAGGGTTGCTGTGTTTTCAGTTTTGGAGTCTCTAGATAAAGTGGCAACCCTACCAATCTATTTGCTTCCTATCTTTGCATAGAGGGTTTGTCTTGGTATAGAGGTGAACTCTCAGGGTTGTGTGGGATATCCCCTCTGTTACAGCCTCAACTTTGAGAGCTTCTTTTGAACTTTGGAATTGATTTTAAAGAAAACCAATGGCACCATCGTGTTTCTTGCAAAATTTTACATAGAATGCCGTACTTGAATTGCAAATTCCTGACAAGAATTCAAGAGCTCCATTCTGTGTCCTTCGAAAATAATTGCAAAACTAAACTTTCCCCTTCATTACCTGGCACAAACAGTCTTCAAATGGCAAGCACTCGATGCCGATGGACTCCATCCGCCGCAGTTGCTCGTCGTAGAAATAGTCCAGCTCATACATGGACAGAAACCCATCTCCGTCAAGATCCATGCAGCGAAACCAATACTCGATTGCACGTGGATGAGTCTTGTCTTCCTCCGCCAATAGGAACCATACGAAATCAGCGTAGCACATCTCATAGTTGCTGTTTTCACCCCTGTCTGAGGTTGGAGAGCGCACAGCTTTCATTCGGTCTTTCTTGTCTCCATGTGTCACCGTTCCGGAGAATATCCGATCGATGATGCGAGAGGAGAGAGCTGGAAAAATTTAAAATAGGATAGATTTTTATTTTGCTCGATAATGTAGACATTCACTTTTCAAGTTGAGATTTTTCCTTAAAAACTTTGAGACGAGGGGTGTTGATGAGGACTGTTTTCGGCCCATCCTAAATTTCCTCAACACAATAATTTTTTTGCTCATTGAAGGTCTATATTCCACAGAGGGCATCATGATTTGGTCATTTTTGGTCTATTTTTGGGTTTAATAATGGACTAAACATGGGTCTAAAGGCCGATTTTGCGAAAAATAGGGGTTTGCGGTCAGATGCTGAAAAGTCGAAATTTTTTGCTATAATCGGCCTGTAGCCCCGTGTTTAGGCCAGTCTTAGACCTAAAAGAGACCCGAAAAACCAAATTATGATGCGTTCCATGGAATATATAGACCTTCAAGGACCAAAAAATCGAAAAATTGAGTGATTTCAGGAATGTCTCAAAGTGGCCTTTATCGATACCCCTCCTTTTTTAATAAAATTATTTTAAAGAGGAAACATGCAATTTTCTTCTTGAATGCATTGGATGCTGTCTTGAAGGAATATTTATGCAACAAACATATGGACTTATCATTAGATAAACATTTGGGTTCGTTGATATAATTTTTGTTTCAAACTGTTGTTTCATCTCATTTTGATAGGGTTTACATTTAAATATTACTAACCTGGCGTCCAATGTAAAAATTTGCTTCGACTTACCATGATCACTGTGACGAGCGAGATCGTGCTTGTCAATGCACAAATCATGATCTCGATCTAATTCCCAAAATTTACAATATATTACATAAAAGTGTTCGTAACTAAAGTACTGCGTCATCTGGTTGATGTCTTCCTCCTCTTCCAGCCGGGCTATCGATCGGAGCAGGTCGCTCCGCCTCAGTTCTGATAACGAAATTCGGCCATTCCACATTTGGTTAACATTATAGTAGATTCTTGATACCACCTTAAAGGAAAAACAGATGGCAAAGAGAAATTAGATATTTAATTGCACTGCACAATTTACAATCAGTACATTTTCCTGGAAACTACGTTTTCTGAATCGTAAATTTCGAACCTAAATCCATACCTCTGCTTTTGTTTTGAAATGTTTCTTTCGCTAAATGCTTTTTACAGCAACATCTATGCTCTGAAGCAAATACCTCAATCTGGAGTTTTTACAGGCTAGGGTGCCTTTGACCACTAACAGTAACGCATGCAGATTCACTGGTGCAATTTTTAGAATTTAAACTTCATTACTAGAAATCTCAAGTAATTTATTGGGTTAGTTCCACTGGTCTTAGAATCGTATTTGGATTCTTGTAGATCAGCTAAAAATAATAAGATTCATCCGAACAGCAATTCTTTACCTTCAGTATTAACCGGGATATCGTGCTTTGAAAATTTCCTTTGACATCATCCACCGCGGTGGTGACACCCTTAGTTTCTTCCACCTTGCTTTCATCAGTCAGTAATGCACTAGTTACTCAACGTGAAACTCAAATAGAAGAAACGTGGAAGAAACCAAGAATGTCTCCACCGCGGTGGATGAAGTCATAGCCCGAAATTTCAAAGCACGATATCTCATTTATATTGAAGGTAGAAAGTTACTGTTTCAGCAGACTTTATTATTTTTAGTTTACCTACAAGAATCAAGCATTAAAACGCGATTCTGTGATCAACGCAACTGACCCCTTAAAGTGAAAGGTAATTTGTGTGCTTACCGTGAGGATATATCTGGAATGGAATTCAGTAGCTTGCTTAAGGAACACTAGGCCAGGATGCGTATCAACTACATCTTGTACTAAAGGTATAAAGTCTTCTGGATCTAAATAGTTTCTGGAAGCACCGCGAGTGAGAATATGCATGAACAAGGAGGCAGAATCATGATACTTCATTGATACTCTGAAAACAAGAGAGAAAAAAATGTGGTCTTTAGGGCTAGCTAAGTTTGAACACAATGAGCAGCGCCTGAACAAAAATACATCCAAGATACGACTCATAGGACCAAATTGACAACATTTTACTATTAACAACACAATTTCTGGCTCACCCGTAAAAAAACTTATGTCTACATGGAAAATGATGGTACATACATTATTCCTAAACCGAGCCAAAAATTGTAGTTCCTAATTAAATCGGCTTGTGCAAAAACGTCCGATGTCCAACACAGTTTTTAGAATTTGAGTGGACGCTTTCATTATAACTTACAGACACATGACGGTTTAAGACGTTTGGGAACGTAAAACAATTTTGTAAATAATTAAACGTTTACTAGAGAGATTAATCTTATTCATCAGTGTCGTGGGGCATAAGAAGCCACTGTAATTATGAAACCCTGAATTGGACAACAGATGTCTCACATGAGCTGAAACAATTGCAAAATGTAGTCAAAATCTGTCAAGCAAGGAAAGAAAACATTTATTTTGAAGGATCTGACACACTGATAAACTGCTGTGAAAAAAGAAAAAAATTAATTTTGTCAAAAGCTGCTATTTAAGTACTTGCTGATGATCACTAAGCCTTGTCCACTTGCGCATAGCTCGCAGAACTCCGGGCGAATTAGCTCAACAAACCGGAGTTTCGCATGCCTTATACTGCGCATAAGTGTTTCAAATCACTGCTGGGGGCTTAGAGGACGAGGCGCATAAGTGCAGTTTTTCCTACTTCGAGAAATACACGTTGGAACTTTTGAAATTACATGGATCCTCATGGCGGAAAGCTAGTTCAAACTGACTTTCTGATGCTTAAAATTGGAATTTGAGAGCGAATTTTTCACAGAATATGCATTGAGACTAGTTTTACTTGAAATAATTAATATCTCGATTTTTTAAAAAACTGCACTCATGCGCCTTGTCCTCCAAGCCCCTTTGTAGAGTTTGGATTGCACTATGCAAGTAGGTATTTGCAGTTTGCTTTTGTTGGATGGACAAGCATTCAATGAATTTCACTATTAATTATATGGAAAATGATTCGACTTACGACTTCCAATAATCGAGAAAATGATTTTGCTCAACATATCCTAGTTTGTCTCCTCCAGCAGCTAGAAAAAGGGGGGCTTTCCAGTAAAGAGGACAGCCGGCAGCCTGTAAAATAAGTTCAGAGACCATTATTCAAGGAATTCACTTACAGGTATTGAAAAAAGCTGATGAAGTCAGAGCACTACAGATAGATAGTGTTGTAAACAGTCACATCTACATGGCAGTGTTTCAAATTTTTATCTTTTATTTTGATTTTTGAAAGGAAACCAACCAAAGCTTTCACTCGAAACCTGTTGCAATTTTTCTAGCCCATACGAAGGTTCTCTCCACAAAATTTCAACTAAAAATGTTGCGCGGTTTCTTTCAAGAACAATAATATAGAAGATGAGATTTTGGAAAGCTGCAATGACTGCTTTGCTAAACCCTATCTAAATGTAACTTGACTGACTACACAGATGTTTAGAGGAGAAAAAATTTGTAAGTGCGCAAGATATTTGTTGACGTGAAAAGTCCGAGTGCGTTGAGCTTTCAAATTTATGATCTTGTAAGCTCTAGAGAAAATGCCTGAAAGCTTTCAACTACATGCTTTTTTCAAAACGTATGTTTGCGAAGAATCATTGAGCAAAACACTTTTATTGTTTCAAAATAAGTGCGTGTAACACGCAAAAATTACAGGAGAAATCGATTAAAATATATAAAATTTCTGTGACTGACGATATAATATCTGGATGTTTTGATCATTGCTTTTAGCTGAAAACCTCGTGCGCGGTTTTTTTGTGTGTTTTGATCATAGCCACCAATTAGACCGCGTTTAAACAGAGAAGAACCAAGCCACATCAGCTATTACCAAAAATTAGGTAATTTAATTTTTTCCATGAAAACGGTTGTGCGGATTTTAGAGCAAATTTCAGTGAATTTTTTCCATAGTAACAGGCAAATTCCTTAAACTTTTCAAAGAAATCCGCACGACATTCTCTCGTAAAAAATTAAATCGTCCAGTTTTTGGCAATAGCTGATGTGGCTTGGTTCCTTTCTGCTAAATGCGCAATTGTAGACCCTGTCCGCAGGGAAAGGGACCTCAGTCAACAATAACTTAAAATTGCACGTCACTGATGACAAATGGACTGATGACACCAATGGACACCTTCCATCTTATTTTCCTTTCCTTTTGGAAGATCATCAATTTTTTATCCAATTAAGTCAGAAATTGGCAGATACATATTGTTGTTCAGGATCCTGTTGCTAATAGTTCTAAATTCCTAGTTATACCTAATGCAAGAAATGTCTATGCCTGAGAAAAGTTAAATCCCTGGAAAAATTTACGAAGGTCACATTGGTTACAGGTCTGGGGGGTTTCTTTTACATTCTCAGATCATTGTAAACGGAAATACCTAACACCCAACTAGGCGAGAGAAAACAAACGAGAGGAAAATTAAATTCAGTCAGGCGGACTAAAAATGTCTGATAAGTAACGGTGCGTTTTTAAAAACTTTATTTTTTTTACCTTTGTAATAATTCCGAACTCTTCTTTTGATGCTTGCGGTTTAGGAAGTGACTGGAACGCAACTCGTACAGCATCCAAAATTTTTTCTAGATTATTTTGGTCTTTTGGTCTTCCATGAGGAAAATGAAACCTGTTTGAAATAAAAACATGCAATACTGATCAGAATATGCGCAGTTACCATAATAATCAAAGTTCATCACAGCTGATAGAGGTACATGCTTTCGAAAACGCGTTTTAAGTTGATTAATTCCACATAATCTCATGTTTTAAAGGATATTTAAACCTTAGTTGAGGGGCTTGGTGGACAAGGTACATAAGTGCAGTTTTTTTAAAAAATCGAGATATTAATAATTTCAAGTAGAACTGGTCTTAATGCATATTCTCTGAAAAATTCACTATCAAATTCCAATTTTCAAGCATCAGGAAGTGAGTTTGAACTTTCTTTCCGCCAGAAAGATCCATGTAATTTCGAAATTTCAAAAACTTATTTCTCGAAATAGCAAAAACTGCACATGTGCACCTTGTCCTCCAAACCCCTCAATTTAGAGGCAAAAAAAAAAAAAAAAAAAAAAATGAGATTCAGCGTTTAAATTTTCCAATAATTACACACTGAGACGAGTTTTACTCGATATAACAGATTTCAAGAAAGTTTGTTGATTCATGCATCTAAGAAATCCTTCACTTAGGTGGACGTGTTTAAGGGAAAGGAGGTGTGGATCTGCAGTGAGGCAGAAGGTTAAAAAATTGAAAATATGCGTCGGTAACTTAGGGATGGTCCCCACTTGACTTAACAAAGAGAGGAAAGTCCGATGCAAATACAGGTGCAGGGCCGGATTTATCTACTTGCCGCCCCCTTCTCATTCGTTTTGAAACATCAATAAAAACCATCAAATGATCGTGCCAGCGGAGGAGGGGTGCATAAGACGCCTTTTCTCGTGTTGAACACATTTTTCGGAAAAGCCCCGTCAACAATACTAGCAAAAGTTCACGGAACTTTGCGCGAAAGTTAAGTTTCGTAAACCTATCTCTGTGCGGACAAGACTTTCTTTTCATAAGAAATGAACGAAAAAATTATGAAAGAACAAACATAAATGTGTGTTAATGATTTTAATTCCCGCCGCCGCGCCACGCAGACCGCACCGAGTTTGGCGCAATGCGTGAAGTATTCAGACAGTCTTGTAGGCGCAATGAGTTTCACGCCGACCGCTGCTGAACGCACTGTGTTTGACGCAATGCGTGACGTATTCACGCAGTCTTGTAGGCGCTATGCGTTTCACGCTGATCGCACTGCGTTTGCAGCAATGCGTGAAGTATTTGTGCAGACATGTAGGGGCTAATATGTGTTCCATGCTGATCGCAGCGCCGAGGGCTTCTCCTTTTCATCTCAAGGCCTCGTCATCATTTCTCTCTAGGTTCCAGGCCAAAGTGCGTGTTTGGTTTCTCTCTTAACTCGACTAATTAAAGGTGCTCTCTCTTGTATCACTGAAAGATGACAAAATTAGAAATGACTATACTCTTAGGAAATGAGAGATTTTGTCGCCTTCTCTCGTTTGTAATTTTTTTTCTAAATTCGATTTTTTTTATACCTACATTTGAAAGAAAAGCGCAAAATTTGCCGCCCCCTGTAGATTTGCCGCCATGGGCCGTGGCCCATGTGGCCACCCCCTTAATCCGGCCCTGTACAGGTTAGGAAAACATTCCTCCAACTTCTCTAGCCATTTTGAGCGATAAAAGAAGATAAGATTCTCTAAAAAACCAAAATCACTTGATTGCCTATTCACTCAAGCAGTATTAAGCTTAATTGAAAGTAGTGAGCGACCGAACTTATTTGTTCCGAAAAATTCCACGATTTAGACAATTTGTTTCAGAGTGAACTGTAAAGTTTCTTTTCATGTTCGCTTTTTTAATACATACCTTGGTATGAAGACAGGTTTTCTAACTTTAACGTGCCTCTGAAGTGTTGTATGCGGCGGAGGACCACCAGGTTTTGGTTTAGCATCCTTACTATAATTCTGCAAACAAATAAACAAAAATCACAAATTAGATAATCTTCACGGCAGGAAAATGTGACAAGAAAAACATGACAATAGGATGAATGTTTCAGAAAACAGATTAAAAACGTACAAGGAGCAATGAGGCTCCCAGTTTCTCTGATTTTATCACCGGTTGCCGTGAAATAGAGCTTTCCCTGTCTTTCCAGGTTTCCTAGGCCGCTGGAGACCCGGGAAAGGGCATTCGGGAGTTATTCGCGCTTTTTCCGATAGCACCGGCGGAATCATTTTTAAAATTGATAGACAGAGCGATAGACAAAGAGAGCATAAGGAGTACAGAGTGATCCGATTGATTGAAATGGGTGGTTCCTAGAGACTAAGAGAGAAAATGACCGACCAACTATAGGGTCTCTCGTGGGTTGCCGTTAGTTAATCTATTATCTACTTCCTTTGTCCATTGCAACCACCCGCTTCCACCAATGGGATCCCTCCGAAAACCTTTTTCCTTCTTTGTCTATAGTTATGTCTAGCGGCCCGCAGCTGTTAACGAGCAGTTAACGAGCCGACGGACGCGACGTCGCGCTGTGCACTGAAAAAAAACTCCAGCCGTGGAAACCGCGGTACTTACGGGCTATGTAGACACATACCGTCCACGTTCCGGGCGTAGCATCTGGAACAGTCAAAGCTACGGCTCCAGCACCCGAAACTTTCGGCTTCTGAGCCTAGAACGGACGATATGTCTATATGGCCCGTAACTTTTTTTTTTTCAGTATGCTATTCGTGAAATTTCCCATATGAGTCGCTTTACAGCACTCCCTCGCGCTCTACGACTCCTAACCTCCACTGCTCTCTTTCAAACCACAAATCTTGGGGGATTGAGCACCTTAACATTTCCGCTTCAATCCTTTCCCTCCAACCTTTCATTGGGCGCCCTCTGCGCCCAAATGAAATTCCGCGTGAAATTCCCGAACTTCCCAAAAATTTCGGGCTCTTCCCAGTCAGTCGATTTCCGGAATTTCTCGGTTTCCCACACAACCGGAAACCTGTTATTTTTCCCATAATTTCCTATCAATATGGCAATAGTGAATCGACGACGGCGGAAGTGGAGACATCTTTCGCGGTTATTGCACCGAGCCCGGTTGGGTCGGGACTTGAACGTAATGCGCGCTAACTAAATTAGCCAATTAGCCCCTCGTCACTCCGATGACTTTTCTCTGTTCGCGAGTCCAACTCCGCCCCGACGTATATTTCTCTGCCCTCTCCGCTGTGCCGAACATGGGCGAAAAAAGGAAAGAGCGAGCTCGGTACGACTAGAGTCCCTTTATACCCAGAGTTAAGACAACTCACTTTTGGTTGGGCTGAAAGTGGCCTAAAAAAATCCAATTCTGATTGGTTCTCGCTCATGGAGGCCGAAACGAGTGCACCCGAATGTGAACAAGAATAATGAAAATATTACCTAATTGTGGTTTATCAAGAGTAAATTGTTATTTCCATCGGTCTGAAATGAAAATAGATTTAGAAATTATTCACAAACCAATCTCTAATTTTCGTTTTAATTGATCAATTTGTTGATGTTGTTGTTTTTGTGTGACAGACATCGCAGGATTCCTGATTCTTATCTCTTAATATCGTTTGTTTGGGTGCACTCGTTTCGGCCTCCATGGCCAGCCAAGGCCGGCTGCCAGTCAGCTGATAATCGAGTTGTCTTGACTCTGGGTATAAAGGGACTCTAGGTACGACTGAATCCATTTACTACCGGGCTAAGAAAGAACGCCGTATGAGACCACAAAGGATGCCGTAGTTCATTCAGTGAAACACAAATTTAATAGGAAAACTGTGGATAATTTTCTGCAAATTTTTTTAGATAATTTTGTTCGCACACTAATCTAAAATGTCTGAAAATTTAAAAAAAAAATATGCAGAGCTCTCCTCAAAAATAAATGTTTTATGCAGAGAAATTCGGCGACTCTCGAATGTTCATACGGCGTTCTTCCTTAGCACAGCAGCGGAAAGGTCTTCCTCAGCAAAGGCGAGGCGTGCTTTACGATACATCGATTGATATTACCATTTGAACCTACGGAAAAGGATCGATAAACAGGGTGTTTGCAACGAGCACCTTAATAATCGATTCTTTACCTTAGGTTTAAATGGCATAATAATCGATAATCGATCATTCACGCCTCGCCACTGTTCCTCAGAAATCGATGGCATTCAGCCAGTGCACACATAGACGATAAATTACAGAGATTCCACATTCCCGAGTATTTAAGCGATGTGATGAAACTTATGAATTCACATACATTTTTTCATACATTACAGCGTCGTTGCAGCGCTCTCCTATAGAATTGAAAAAACTAAAATAATCAGCTTGCACATTTTATTCTGTAGAATGCGGCAAAGTTGCTATAATTCATTTTTGTCGAAATTGTCAGGCGGTGTTGTTCGTTAGCCCTCGATATTTAGTGGAATTCCACGATGGACCACTAAACAAGGTACGAATTTCAGCATTCTGGTGCATGTTTCGTAACTAAAATTTCAAGTAGAACACGATGCACACGATCAAAATTGCCAAAATCAACTCCTTACGAAGATATTTAATGATTCCTGATGCGTAAATTCAAACCACCCGCTTATGAAAACTCAATGCTCTACGTGATTCACATCGCGCGCTAAACGTTATCATGACAGTCTCTGCGATATAAAAATCTGGCAACATCAATCTTGACGCTTTGGCTCAGCTATAGCAAATTGCTTATAGTTTGAACAACACATGGTGGGAAATGAACATTGCTCGATTGAGAAGCTTGCTGAAACCGTTGTGGTGCGCGATTTGACTCACGTAGAGCTTTGAGTTTTTTGTCAGCGGGCAGTTCAAATTCCTCGTAACCAATGTGAAATAAAAACGTTAATCTCTTCGTTAGGAGTTAGTTTCAGTCATTTTCGTTGTGCAAATCGTGTGCGACGTGAAATTTTGGTTAAGAAACATGTGTCAGATTGCTTAAATTCTTACCTTGTCTAGTGGTCCATCGAGGGAATCGGAGGACAAGGCGCATAAATGCAGTTTTTGAAAAAAATGAGAAATTAATGATTACAATTAAAACTAGTCTTCATGCATATGCTGGGGAAAATTCGCTCCCGAATTCCAATTTTTAAGCATCAAAAAGTCAGTTTTGTAATTTCAAAATTTCAAATACGTATTCTCGAAATAACAAAAGCTGCGCATATGCGCCTTGTCCTCCAAACCCCTCAATTGTGAATTTCATGAAATTTCGCCAATTGTTTCAAATGCGTGTTTTAAAGCTGGAAATAAAGAGGAGAGGTCGACTGATTTCTACGGCGCGGTCCAGTCGTTGCTCCTCTGACGTAAGGGCGTATCTTGATTCCCACTTGAGCCCTGTTTTACATATGAATGCATGCTTTCCAGGGCTCATGCAAACATCGATATACGCCCTTACGTCAAAGGAGCGACGCATTCGCTCGTTAATGGAGATGCGTTTGGTCGTTTGTATGAATGACGTTTGACTCGCAGTGAATTGCGGGTTCCGCTATCGCTCGCGAGGCTCCATCAATGGCGAGAATGAATGGCCTCAAGTGCCGCGTCTCGTTGGTCGCGCAATTCGGGCACGAGCGCAAAAATTACGCGTGTTATTGCGTCACACGAGCACCCGCTCGCGGCTAAGTTGCCTCGGTCGAATAAAATACAAACAGCTCGCCTGCAGGCCGATTATTAAAACTTATAGACAAAGATACAGACAGAGACGACGAAAGGGATTTGGAGGGATCCTATTGATGGAAGCAGGTGGTGGCAATGGACATAGGAGGTAGGTAATGGACTAACTAACGGCAACCCACTAAAGACCCGACAGTTAGTCCATCATATTCTTCCTTAGTCTATAAGAACCAACCAGGTCAACCAATAGGATCGCTCCATACTCCCTATGTGTTCTTTGTCTATAGCTTCATCAATCAGTTTCAAAAATCGGCCCGCTGGAGAGAACACACTTAAAAATCTCAAGAGTGATTTGGAAGGGATTTCGCTTCAAAGCCTGTTTTGCCGCGAAAAACCCACGTGATATGAATAAGGTGTGAAGTTTCAGTGCGTCCGTTCCCGGCATAAATTCCGAATTTCGGAACTTTCCCCGGAAATTCCAGCTATTTTCGGAATTTTCTCGAAATTTCAAGGATTTTCGACAGTTAGACCGATAATTCAATCAAAGATGACTATTTTATCAAATTTGAGGATCTTCGACGATTCTTTTATCAAATTTGACAATCTTCGACGGCCTGCGATCTCGGCCTAGATATTCAATATGAACCGAACTTTTTTCCCGTAGAGCAGGGATCTGGCATCGAAGCGCAAAGGCAAGATTCCTGCGAACGGCCGAGTGCTGAGCGAACCTGATTAATGAGCAACATGTTCGGCATGTTTCGGGGACGCTAATTGCGGTTATGCACAAGCGATCCGAGCGGGCTGCATCATTTATTAGAGGGCGACGGAATTCGAAGATCGGACGTCGCACAGTGGAACGAGTCCTTGGAAGAAGTCGGACATGAAATTGTTGACAAAAATCGGAAATTTTTATGTTTATTTCGTCACGTTTTAATTTTAAATGGATGCTTCTAGAAGAAAATTTCACAAGAAAACCTCTGGACTCACTTTAAGAACCTCAAAATTGTGTATAAACGGAGTTAAAAGCTTTTAAAGTTTCCAAATTTTCTCCTATTGACTCGGTCCACTGTGCGTCGGTGGTCGAGACGGAGACGGCGCGGCGCTCAGCGTTAAGCGCAGTGCCTCGCCGCGGGCAAACGACCCGGAGCAAGGTGATCCGATTGACCCAATGGCAGGTGAGCGTTAGCTCCATATATTTAATCACCGAATTTCAAGCGCTAGGTGTTCCCAGTGCCGAAGCACCATTCCAAGATCTCAGCAGATTTAATTTGTGTTTTCCGGTCACTCGAGCCGAATGGGACAGTGCCCAAGGTCCACAGACAAAGAGAGGCCCTCCATTCTGCCCAGCTAA